AGTTTCCCTGTCAAGTGTATTACTGTTTCACAGAAGTGTCATGAGATTTAATTGAAGTTTATAAAGCTCTTTGAGGCCTCAGATGGTAAGCACTATGGAATGGCACAGCATTATGATTAAAAGGGGGTGGGAATCATGCAGTTTAATGTAAAACTAACTAACTTATACATGCACAGGACCAAAAATGTTTGGAACACTTGGATGCTTTTCTGATGTTGAGCCGAACCTTTTGAACTTCATCCAGCACTCCCGGTCATGCTTCTGACATGCCTCCTAGCTGATTCTATGGAGATTTCCTTGCATTTTATAGAGAATGTCTCCTCTCAGATGGTGTTTCATATTCTCATGACTTCAGTCTGCTTGTTCTGAAATACCAGCATGCCTGCCGGTCATTCTTATACACTGTAGTGACTCAGTAATGCTGTTCTCTAGCGGGTATGGCATTTCCTTCTGTTTCTCAGGGATATGGTGTCAGCGTTTCTGTCCCAAATTTACATGTCTTGAAAGTCTATTTCCTCATCAATTGTCGAGTCCCATCTGCCCTTTTCTCCCCCCTCCCATAAACCCTCTTTTTCCTTTGTGATGTCCCTTCCAATCCCCTTAAACAGGACACACATGGAACTCACTTGAGGCTGATGGCAAAGGACAGGGATGCAGCCATTAAATGAAAGCAGTTTCCTAAACAAATAGGAAATAGCTCCAATTTTATTTTACTAGTGCAACTTGGCTTGTTTTTTAAAAAGCTGCTTTTTCATTGTTTAATGGTACATTAAAGAATTTTCTTTTAGGTATATGAGTAGATTCTTTGTATTGTGCTAGTGAGTTACAGCTGGGGATAGTAAAGTGCTTTACAAGCGCTGGGTAAGGCCCAACCTTGGTGTGCCTCTGTTGCCTTCAGGAGATTCCAGTGAGAGGCACCTTGGATGCAGAGTGCGCCTGCTTATGCTAGAGCTGAAACTGATGCTTTGATTAAACTCACAACACCCCTGTATTTATGATTATACCCAGTTAGGGCTCACTAGAACAGGAAATGTAGGTGAATCCAATTCTGCATTAATGAGTGCTCAGACACCGAGCTACTCTGATCTAGTAGCATGACTCAGGCCTAACATGGAACATATAACTAAGTATATTAAGAATCCTTCCTAAGCCAGTGTCTCCTTAGATGTGCTCTGTGAAGTTGGCTGGCCAGGGACCAGCTCATGCGAAAGCTCCAAGCCAATTCACTTGTGTATTAGTATAGATTAAAGTGGTAGTTGTGTAAGCAATGTATTTGGTGTTTAAACTTAATAAAAACTATGGGATATAACGTGCATCATTTTCACTTATCTGTATGCTGTTATAATGCAATAGCAAATATTTACATTGTGCATACCCTATAACTAAATAACCCATCAAACAAGAAAGAATCCTCGTGGGATGCAAATGAAGAACTTTAGCAGGAAAGTGCTGATTTGTGCACATTTGAAGGCAGATGGTCATTGTGTGTGGTGACCAGAAATCAAAAAAAGAATAAATGTGCCTCTCTCTCTCAGCCAATCAAAGTAAAAGACCACATGGGTAGTGACCCTGTCAGCTTGTTTTCTATGAGAAGAAGCTATAAGAATGGATTCAGAGAAAGATCCTGCATCTCTGGACTGTCTGAAACCTTACAAGGAAAGGATGGGTACTGGATGTAAAGCAGAGATGCCCAAAGACCATGTGGTACCCTGATAAGACTTTGGGGACACTGGCAATTTACTATATTTCTGACACCATTTAGAATTATAGAGACTGTTTATGGGTAAATATATTTTACCTGCTTTAACCTCTCAATAGCTTTCATTTCCTTTTCTTAGCTAATAAACCTATAGTTAGTTTACTATAGAATTGGCTACCAGCATTATCTCTGGTGTGAGATCTAGAATGCAATTTGATCTGGGTGAGTGACTGGTCTCTTGGGTCTCTGAGTAACCTGGGATATTTGTGATGTTCTTTGGGGGGTGGGGGGAGGTATAAGTGAGCATTTATAACTAAGGGTATGTCTACACTACGGGATTAATCCGAATTTAGATAATTCGAATTTGGGAAACAGGTTGTGTAAATTCGATTGTGCGCGGCCACACTAAGCACCTTAATTCGGTTTTTAACCACATTAATTCGGTGGTGTGTGGCCACACTACCCCATTAATTTAAACACAGTAATTCGGTGGTGTGCGGCCACACTAAGCCTAATTCGAATTAACAAAATCGATTTAGGCGCTACTCCGCTCGTCGAGGTGGAGTACAGAAATCGATTTTAAGTGCCCTTTAATTCGAATTAACTGGCTCTGTAGTGTGGACGGGTGAAGGGTTAATTCGGATTAACGCAGCTAAATCCGAATTAAAGTCGTAGTGTAGACCAGGCCTAAGTTCAGTTTGTCTAGGTGGCAGGATAGAGTGGAGAGTCGAATGGCACTGTCTGTGACTCCATGGTAAGACTGTTTATAGTGATCCAGGAGTTCACATTTGGTTTTGACTTGGTGAAATTTAATTACAGAACAACCACCAGTTTGGGATGTCTGTCCTGTTTTTGACAGTCTGCCCTGAGAGAGCCACTCCAGACAGTGTGACATATTCATTCCTTATACACCTCCGCTCCTCTTACATTCTGTGTACTTGTGAATAAGGGAATGATGTACAAAGGCTACTGCTCAGTGAAGGAGCATTCCACCTAGTGTTTCACCTTGCATGAACACATAAGTACTCCACTCACCATGGTGCTGGAATGTACAAACTTTGTGCATACTGTACATGTTCTTGCAGCATCAAGACTTTTATGTATTGATAAACTGAGGCAGAGAGGGAATAGGTGAAGTCACGCAATGAGTCAGTAACAGAGACACTGAAATAAAGCCTCACAGTCCAGTCTTCTTTTTTACCCCACAGAAAACCCTGTTTTATATGTCTCATTCCTTGAAAAGCATATTGTGAGAGAATGAAACAGCTGATTTAGAAAAGAAGCAATTTAGCACATTTACATTCCCTGGAATATGCACATAAACATGGAATAGTCTATACTTAGATAAGATTTAAGTGGGGTCACCTGGTTTTAAATTTATGCTTGAATAATTACATGCATTTTAAAAAACCTTATGCCAACATTTTCAAACCTGGGTGGTTAAACATAGGCTCCTAAAATCTATATTTAGGCTTGTAGGAATTGGATTACTCACATATAAAAGTTCCGAGGAGCCACATATCCTATTAAAGTCAGTGTGAGCTCAGAACTTAGCAGGTCATTTTTATGTAGGTGCCTAACTTAAGGCATCTATATTTGTAAATGTTCTTGTCAAGCTTGTGTTAAGGTTTGCAACAGAGAGAGAGACTGAGAGTATGTGTGTGTGTATACCTAGCCAGCAACAGGTGTTTATTGTCCACCCTCTCCTTCAACAAACCTAACTATTAACTCAATCAAAAGAGTTGATTCGTTGTATGTGTGAAGGCTAACTGGTGTATTTAACTATGAAACTGTGATGCTTTTGGTTCAAGTGTACTGCACCTTTAAATTTTGAAGAATTCTGCCTATGTTGCAGAGTGAATGGCCATTATGCTGCAAACTATAATAGAGTAAACCTAGACACATTGTGCTCTTCCCCGGGATACTTGACTTTGGTCTTTCTTGTTTCTCTTAATCATTTTAGACTGAAAGTATCCACTGTGTTCTTTGCTTTAGTATTAATCTTAGAAACATCCCAACACAATCCAGATTTAAAAGAAGTGAATTTTTAAAAGTACAGATGGGTAGTTAAAAACAGATGTGACAACCACAAGATTCTTCCAGACCTAATGTATTAGTCCCTTTTTCAAAAGAAATGTGCTTAGAAACCTAACTCTCACTGAAAGTCTCTCTGAAGTGCTGTCTCTTTTCAAAATGGGACTGAGGATCCCAAGTCACTTTGGTGCTTCTGAAAATGTTACCCAAAAGCTACTGTGGTCAGTGGGCGTCTCACCCATGTAAGTTCTGTGCAAGCCCTATTTTCAAAATAAACTTATTTAGGAGCATAATTCTCACTGAAAGTCACTGGGATTTACACTGAATAGCCCAAGTCTCTCTTGAAAAAAGGACTTAGGCACTTTTGAAAATTTTACCCTTTGTCTGAATAAAGACTCCAGTAGCAAACAAAAAAAGGGGGTGAGGGGAGTAGGCCTAAACATGTTCCCATTGCCATCAATGGTAAGGAGAACAGATTGGCTGAATCAGCTACAATTTACATAATATGTTACCACTAATTTGGCAGTCAAAGGCAAGTCAGTCTGTAACTATATTGGGCCATATTCCTATTTCCTATCTCTTCATTGAGACTAGTGGAAGTTACATCAGGGCTGTATTCAGCTCATCCATTAATGTTTTCTTTGCCCCAAATGTTGAATGTATTTTCCCCTCTCAAATTGATTTTTTTGATCTACACCTTTTTAAAATAATAGCAAAAAGTTTCCATCAAGATCTATTTTCTGCTTTTCTATCTGAACCTGTGTGGCATTCGTACTACGGTCATCAAAATGCCTTTTCCTCCATGCTGTCGAACAATTCTGTTCCCAATTAGATCAAAGTTGAATCCATCTGTTTCCCAATATTACCCTCCTGGATTTATACCCCATGAATTCCTTGACTAACACCTCCTTCTCCGGTAAGATTTTTCCTTCTGCTTCATAATTGGGGCTGTGTGTGTGCATGGCACATCTGGATACCGTTGGGTGCAGTGTCACCAAACCGACTTTTCCCATTACCCATATTCTGCTCCCATTGTTCTGGTCTCACGTTGCCCCTTTCTCTGTGCCAGATGCTGCTTCATTCTGGTTCTGACTTGATATTTAATCAGTTCTACTTTCTGCATCTTGTACTGCCACAGCTGTCTTTTGATCTTGCTGCCCCTTTCCCTCCCAGCCCCCACCCCTTAAGTTTTGATCTAGTTCCAAAGTTTCATTATCTAATTGATTTGTTCTGGTAAACCTTTTAATTTCTTCCTCTCTTTTAATAGGTCTTAAGAGGATTGTTTTCTCACTTTGGAGCTTAGTGATGGCTGCTTTTCCCATTTTATTTATACAGGCTGCCAATCAGGCACTTCTACCAGACTTCCAACTGGGTCTCCCAGCAGTAGCCATTCAATTCATGGTTGTTAGCTGGCCTTTCCCAGTAGTTGCTTGGCTTAGAACCAAGAAAATAAGTGTGTTCAAATGCTTCATATGATGATCTGCCATTGACATCATGAGACAATTACCAACTTGCTCTGGATGTTTTCACCCTAGAATGCTGGGTCTCTTCAGACTTCGCTTGGCAGTGGTTAATTTTGTTTCAGGACAGTCTTTGTGAAAGCTATTATAGATGTCACATTTCCTGCTATAAAAAACTTGATAAATCACCTTCTTGCAGACATGTATCATCCAGAAGATGAAAGAACCTTGCACCTTCTTGCTCCAGCTAATGATACAGTAGTCTCAGAGGGCCTGATTCTACAGTTTATACTCATTTGTCAAATTGTCCCATTTATTTTAACAGAAATACTCAATGAGGCTGGTTGGTCTTGTGGTTAAGGCACTGGACTGGAGATCCGGTTTTGACTCCTGTTTCTGCCACAGACCTCCTAGGACAAATCACTTAATCTCTGTGCCTCAACTTTCCACGTGTAAAACAGATAATAGTGCTTCCTTGCCTTTAGCTGTCTTGTCTGTTTGGATGGTAAGTTTTGTGGGACTGGGACTGTCTCTTAATGTATGTATGTGCGGTGCCTAACAGAACAGGGGCTTGATCTCATTTGGAACCTCTAAATGCTACTGTCATGCAAATAATTAGAAATAATATCTTATCAGTAAATGCTACTCAAGTGAGTATGGTAGCAGAATAGGGCCGTGAAGAATTGTCTGCAGTTTTGGTTTGATCTCTCTGGATGCATACTTACTTATTTAGGAGTCTTGGTGTTTTCAAAAGTACTTTGCTAGATACATGGATCAAAAATGCTCATAGTGCTATTTTGGCTAATAATATGAAAACAGTATAAGGGAGAAGCAGAGAGTAGTATACTTCAGGATAATTGTATCATGATTTTGTTTTTTTCCAAATTCACATTACTGATAATGTTATAAGTGATGATTATCCATTTTTAGAGATGTTTGGAAAACGGGATCTTCCTTTTGACATCTCAAAACTACTTTCCATTCCGAATAGCAACAAGGTCAAAATATCAAAAAAAATGTCATGAAGTGAAACATTCCAAAAAGTTTGGCATTGGAATGGTCAAAACAGAAAGCTGACATCTTTGATCAAAATATCTCAATAGTTCAAAACGAAATTTTTCATTTAGACTTGACATTTTTAAACCAAGCTTTTCATTTCGATTTTCCTGACTGATAGAACAAGATAATTAATCAAAATTATCAATTTCTTGCAGACTTTTTTTTTAAGGAAACCACATTTTCCAATGGGAAAATATTTCCATTACAAAGTTTAGACTGAAAAACTTCAAATAGCTACTTCTCTTCTTCTCACTCACATGCTATCTGCATTTCTTGGCCCTTATAGTGCCCTTATAATAATTTTGTGAGGTTTGTTTTGTTTTTAAATCCATTAAAGCATTCAAGTCCCACTTATGCCATGGGTTTAGAGGTCTTAAAATGTTGCAAGCACCAATGGTGGCAATGCTATCATCCACTAATATAGACAGATTCTAACATAATACAGTACCAGATGAAATGAAAGGGTCATTCTTCCCAACAAATGTACCTGGACCTGCTCATTTAATTTATTATACAGATATTTTTGTTCATTTGGTAAATAGTTGAGCTGTTCAGATTCCTTTGCTGTTAATTAGTGGTGAATGTTTGAATTCAGCACCAAGTTATCTGAAAGTTTTGCAGTTAGTTGTCTTGTGATATCTTTCCTCCAGAGGGCTGGGAAGATTGAGTGGTTTGAGTGAGCTCTGTTGGAGTTAATTGAAGTGGAAATCTTGGTTAAGCATGCACATGCATACCCAGAAAGATAATGGAGCAAATAATTAAGCAATCAATTTGCAGACAGCTAGAAGAAGATAAGGTGATAAGTAACAGTCAGTATGGATTTGTCAAGAACAAATCATGTCAAACCAACCTAATAGCTTTCTTTGACAGGGTAACAAGCCTTGTGGAAGGGGGGAAGCGGTAGACATGGTATATCTTGACTTTTGTAAGGCTTTTGATACTATCTCATATGACCTTCTCATAAACAAACTAGGGAAATACAATCTAGATGGAGCTAATATAAGGTGGGTGCAGAACTGGTTGGAAAAATCATTCCCAGAGAGTAGTTATCAGTGGTTCACAGCCAAGCTGGAAGGGAATATCTCACAGGGATCCGTTATGGATCTGGTTCTGTTCAATATCTTCATAATTATTTAGAAAATGACATAGAGTGGCATTTCTCAAACTGAGGTCCACGGACCCCTGGGAGTAAACGGGGGTACTCCAGGGGATCCACGAACCATGTCCAGTGCCACCAGCCCCACTCATCAAGACTTTCCCCTCCCTCCTAGTGCCTCCTGCACGCTGCGGTTCAGCAGCGTGCAGGAGGCGCTGGGAGGAGTGGGGTCGGGACATGCTCAGGGGAGGGGGCAGAAAGAGGTGGGTAAGAGGAGGGGTAGGGGTGGCAGAGGGGTGGGAAGAGGTGGGGCAGGGGTGTGGCCTTGAGGGAAGAGGTGGAGTGGACATGGAATTCTTTTTTGATTCAAATCTAAATAAACATCTGGAGTCTGTGAAAAATTTTAAATCAAAATGGGGGCCCTTGGGTTGCTAAAATTTGAGAACTTCGGGCATAGAGAGTACACTTATAAAGTTTTCAGACAATACCAAGCTGGGAGGGGTTGCAAATGCTTTGGAGGATAGGATTAAAATTCAGAATGATCTGGACAAACTGGAGGAATGATCTGAAGTAGATGATGAAATTCAATGAGAACAAATGCAAAGTACTCCACTTAGGAAAGAACAATCAGTTGCACACATACAAAATGGGAAATGACTGCCTAGGAAGGAGTACTGCAGAAAGGGATCTGGGGGTCATTGTGGATCCAAGCTAAATATGAGTCAACAGTGTAACACTGATAACAAGAAAAAGGAAACATCATTCTGGGATGCATTAGCAGGAGTGTTGTAAACAAGACACAAGAAGTAATTCATCTGCTCTACTCCATGCTGATTAGGCTTTAACTGGATGTGTCCAGTTCTGGATACCACATTTCAGGAAAGATATGGACAAATTGGAGAAAGTCCAGAGAAGAGCAATAAAAATGATTAAAGGTCCTTATGACCTATGAGGGAAGATTGAAAAATTGGGTTTGTTATGTCTGGAGAGGAGAAGACAGGGGAGACTTAACAGTTTTCAAGTACATAAAAGGTTGTTACAAAGTGGGGGGGAGGATTTGTTCTCTTTTTAACCTCTGATAGGACAAGAAGCTAAAATTGCAGCAAGGGCAGGTTAGGTTGGACATTAGGGTAAAGCTACCTAACTGTAAGGATGGCTAAGCACTGGAATAAATTGCCAAGGGAGGTTGTGGAATCTCCGTCACTGAAGACTTTTAAGAGCAGGTTTAGACAAACAATTGTCAGGGATGATCTAGATAATACTCACTCCTGCCTTTAGTGCAGGGGACTGAACTAGAAGACCACTCAAGGTCCCTTCCAGTCTTACGATTTGATGATTCCACTCTTTTTTCTAATTAAAGAGTGGTATCTTGAGACAGACATTTATGAGGATGAAAGCATCAAGAACACATTTGGAATTGGACTGGATGGTTTTCTGGTTTTCATCTGAGTCAAAACAGAATTTGGACTTGTCTTCAGTTGGGAAAAATTGCAGACTTTTCACTTCTAACTTCTTTAAACAATGGGGATGCTACACAAAGCAGCAAAAAGCAAGATTGCTGTATGTATCCCATCTCAGGGAAAGGAAAAAATGTTTAGCCAGCTAACTGGTAGAGAATGAAAATCACCAAATTAGGAGAGCCAATTGCTAGTAGGGAAGGTTTCAAACAGGAGCTTGCATGAAGCCCATTCTGGAGATATTGTCCTCTCCTTTGATATACTGCGTCTGATCCTCAGTTGGTGTAAACCAGGTATGGTTCTATTTGCTTCCGTGGAGCTACACCGATTGATTTACACCAGCTTAGGATCTTGCCTATTTATTTTAAAGCATGTTATGTTTTTCAATATTTTTAATCTGTACAAGTGTACTTTATACAGACTGAAGCGCTAATACAAATCTCATGTGAAAGGGAAATTTTTGCCTCTTTCATGAATTATCTGTGAACAGACTTTTATTTAAAAGAATGTGTTCATTATTCCAAATTATTCAAACAATCCTTATTTTAAAAGTGTTTGCTTTGGCTATTTGAGGTGTGCGGCTCAGTATTACTGCTCGCTACATGGACAGAGTTGCGTTTTGTTTTTTTATGAGGGCGAGGAAAATAAGAGTTCAAGATGGCCACATGAATGCTGCTGGAGTGGAACTTTGTGCAAATCCATATTCATTAGTATTGAAGACTTTTTTTTTTTTTTGCGCTTTCTGTGAATATTCTGGTGAACAAAAGATCATGTGAATGAATATTAATAGAAAATGAATAAAAAAGGGTTGTGAACGCCAGCATACTGAAACGTTGTTCAAGAAATATTTCTGATTTTTCCCCCCAGCTTTTCCCCCTTTCTGATTATAACTTTAAAATGGCCATATTGATTTTCTACAAACTAGCCTTGTTTTGGGATCATAGGCCCAGTCCTGAGTGGGAAAGGAGAGGAGTTGCACTACCTTGTGTGAATATTAGGGGTATGTATTGGGGGAAGGGGGCACAATCATTTCTTTAGCTCCTCCAAGAGGTGCACATCCAGTGCTATACACCCTGTCAGCGTGTGCAGCAGGCTGTCTTCTATGCCATTATCCAACTGAGCTATCTGGTGCCAGGACCCCACCTCCTCTCCATCCTTTTTGAGGTGGCAAACAGATTTATAAGAGGAGCATCTCCTGCGTT